AAAGTTTATAATTTTTTTTTTTTTTTCTTTTATAAAAAAAAAAATAGATTTTATCTATATATACACCGCTCTTATATACGTGTTAATATGCTAATTAATTATGTATTTTTAGTATTGGCGTCTGAATTGATGTCAACAATAGTATTAGAATCTTCATTACTAACTTTTGTAGAAGTAGTGGAAGTAGAATAAGGTCGTAATTTTCCATTATTTTCGAAATAATAATTTTCAAGATTGATACTAGTTGATGTATCAATCTTAATCTTAAGTTCAAATTTAGATTCATCCGATGTATAAACTCGAGGTAATATATTAATTGAAGGTGTTGGAGCGCTTGTTTCTATTCCAACATATGATGAACTTGTTGTTGAAGTCTCTTTTGAAGATGTATGATGATAACGATCTCTCCATCCTTCATTTATTATGAATTGAATCATATTTCCTATTCCACCCATATTTACCGTAGCGTCTTAAATAGAAAAAAAATTCAATTTTAGTATTTTCAAATAATGAAATATATATATTTAATATATTTTAAAAATTACCTGTTATAAGATAAACCCATAATGGATCATAATCAATAATTTGACCGAGAACATAAATCATTGGAGGTGTCCATTGTATTATAAATATTAAAACGTAACCAATAATTTTTCTAACAACTATTGGTTCTATCTTTTTAGTATTCTTTTTGGTAGTATTGTTCTCATTATTATTATTATTATTATTACTATTACTTCTACTCAACATACTACGAGTTCTACTTATAAAACTATTTTTTTTATTATTGTTATTATTATTATTATTGTTATTGCTATTATCATCATTATTATTATTTTTACCCTCATTACCCTCATTACCCTCATTATCCTCATTACTTTCATTACTAATATTTTCATTAATACTAATTTCATTAATACTATTTTCATTACTATTTTCATTACTACTAATATTAACATTCCTTTCATTCCTTTCCTTACTATGTTCATTCATGAATCGAATTGAATTGATTTCTATGAGAATAGAAGAATATGAAAATATTGTTATAATTAATACTGTAAAATTTAATGTTAAAGTAAGGATAGGTAAAATACGTATTGAATTATTATTTGTAAAACACCAATATTTTCCTGAATCATATGATGGTATACTAATTAATGAATATGTTGAACTTGTTATTAATACGAATAATACTCCTTTATAATCATATCTTCCTAAATCAATATACATTTTACGACATATTCTTAAATATGTTAAAAATGCCAATAATCCTACTAATGTCATATTAATAGCTATCGCAAATGATGTTACTCCTCCTATTACTTTACAAACTGAACTTGACCATGGAACTCCATATATATTTGGATATAACTAAAAAAATATATAAAGAAAATTAGAAAATTATATATGAATTACAAGGGATGATTTTTTTTGTGGCGCAGTAAAATACTCACCATATTGGGAAAATTTATCGAAAAGATTATAAAATCTAAAAATAAAAAAAAAAAATAATAAATGTTAGAAAATGTAAAGAAAAAAAAAAATTAAAAAATTAAAATTTTTATCAATTACCTGATAATGCGATATAGAATGGAACTCTAAGTGCCATGGGAAGACTTTTCTTTGTGATGTACCATCTACTTAATGTTCTACTTAACATATAAGAAGCACATACTCCATTTATTATTATCATTACCAACCCGAAAATTATAACTATCTTAAAATTGGTACTTGGTTTTGACGTTTGATTTGTTGTTGATGTATCCATTCTTTACTTTTTTTTAATTAATTTTGAGTGAGAGAGTTCGAAAAGCGGGG